ATCCCATCCACGCAATCTCAAATAGAAGATTCTCGACACAGAGCTGTAAAGTTGATTCGTAGATTCAATCTTGTGACTTCAATTCTCGAATTTTCCTTGTATCAATGTTGTAGGCTTTCCTTGATTAGGTTTAGCTTACCTAATCCTCGACACACCCCCCCAGGAATGGAAGCTTGAAGCTTTTATTCCTGCACTAGATCTGCTATATCCACCAATCCCTGGTGTTTTCTCCAATCCAGGAACTGCTGTCCATGTAGGACCTTAGTAAGGCCGTCTGCCACCATTCGCTTTGTATCAACCCATTCAATACGCAGTCGCTTCTTGGAGACTTCTTGTCGGAGCCAATGATGGTAAATATCAATGTGCTTGAGGTTCATATGAAACTGTGGTTCTTCGCTGGTCAGTAGTGAAACAGTTTGTTTATTGTCACATTGGATTGAGAGTTCTCTATCAGGCTTGAATCCAATAGACCTGAAGACTCGCTTCCAAACTTGAAGTCTTTTGGCTGCTTCAGTAGCTGCACGGAGCTCAGCTTCAGTCGTTGATGTCGTAACTAAGCGCTGCTTCGTGGCTCTCCAGTCAATTGGGCCTCCATACAATTGGACTAAATACCCTTCAGAGCTTGTACGGTCAGGGTTGTCACCAAATGAGGCATCTGAGGCGCATATGAAAGCGTCCATATTGACATTCTCTAGTGGTGAATATTCAATTGCTAACGAGCAGGTGTTATAGAGATATTGGATGACACGTCGGATCTGCTGAAAGTGAGCCTTTGAAGGATTCTTGGTGTGCTTAGCTAGCTCGTTGACAGCTTTGGCCACATCAACCCTAGTCATTACAGCAACATAAAGAGCTGATCCCACAAGTTCTTGATATGTGTGAATCTCTTCATTGGTTGCTTGTTCGGTTGAAGCTTCAATATTGCCAGATATGGGTGTCTTGACATTGTTCGTGGCGTTGATTCCGAATTTGCTAGCCATCTTGGTGATCTGGCTGTCCTGGCAGAGCCAAATCTTTCTCTGAGCACGGTCGCGAGTGATCCTAATATTGAGAAACCACTCAAATTTCTTCATTTTTCGAAGCTCATACTTTCTCATAAGGCCTTTCTCGATTTCCTTAAAAGTAGCTTGCTTTGTGGCCTTGTCGTAAAATAGCAGAATGTCATCAACATAGAACAACAGAACAACACCATTCTTGATGAATAAACATTCTTCGTCTGGAATCTGCGTAAATCCTAGGTTTAGAAGGGTCGCTGTAAGTTCTTTCTGCCATAACCGTGGGCTTCTTCTCAAACCATATAGAGCTCGTCGTAACTTTATTACCTGCCCATCTTGCTTGAATCCGTCCGGAAAGTATGTGTAAACTTCTTCATCAAGGATACTATTCACGAAGGCATTCATGGCATCATATTGAACGATCTCAAGATCGAAGATAGCTGCAATAGCCATCATCATTCTGAAGTTTCGTGCTGCAAGTGTAGCTGCTCGTTTTTCAAGGTCATTTGGTTGTTGCAGATCACCACGTACACAAATACGTGCTTTGAACGTCGTAAGCTTGCCGTATTTATCAAATTTGTATTTGAACACCCATGTCAGCGGTAAAATCTGCTTATCTTGAGGTTTTGGAACAAACTCAAATGTACCTTTTCTCTTCAGAGCTTCAAATTCCTCCTTTGCAGCTTGGGTAAACTGATGCTTGAACTTGTGCCTTAAAACTCCTTTCCAATTTTTAGGCTCTGGTGGAAGCTGCACACTAAACGGTTCTTCAAGCTTTTCCATGGCGGCTAAGAAGATCTTGTCAGTTGTTGAATCTTGGAGCAACTTCTGCCTGGCTAGAAACGCGCGACTAAGCTTTCTCTGCCTTTTTCTCGATATAGGACTTGGTTCTGGGCTTCGATCTCTCTTTGAAGTTTTCGATGGTCCTGCAGAGATTGAGGTAGGGCTCAGAGCTCGGTTTGAGGCTTTTCGAATCCTTGATCCTGCCACTATATTTGATTCTGACAGGTCGGCGCTTATTTCTTGTGCTCGAGGAGCTTCCTGTCCTGTAGTCTGATTTGGCGGTGTAGTTGGCGGTGTGATCAATTGGTTTGTTCTCATGTTGTCATTGTTGTCGTCCAACTGATTTGAAGCGTTTTGACTGGCAGAATCTCTCTCAGGATTTGGTAATTGGCGAGGCTGATTGGTCGGATTATTAGTTTTTCCATCTAATTTGGGAATATCCTCATCCTCGGCTTCCTTCTCCATGACATCGACTTCGTCCTTATTCTTATCCTCATTCTTATCCTCCACCCCCCCAGCTGAGCCAATTTCCATCATGGAATTCTCACGATTATCAACTTGCGCTTGATTTGTTCTATTTCCGTCAATTTCCATATTTCCTGGCTCAGTTGGAGTATCAATTTCCATCTCCTGTGGAATCTGAGTCTGTTCAACTGACTCGGTCGATGTACTGTCGATTTCCATATTCTGCGGCATATTCAAGGGCTGAGTTGGCTGCTCAATATTCGCATGCTCATGAGGTGACGTGCTACCTCCTGTCATCGTTTTTCCTAGGCTAACAGAGAATTGCTGTAGCCTCATATCGTCGTCAACTGAGTCGAATACGATATTGGGGTCTGCTTCGTCAATGTTCGGTATGTCGATATTGCCAACATATTTGGTTATACCCTCTTTGACAATTTCTTTTGCAAATGGATGATCAGGGTCATATTTCTTAGTCTCATCAAAGACTACGTCTCGAACTCGTATGACTTTTGATCCACTAGGACCTTGGACCCATATTCTCCATATATTGTGAGCTTCATAACCAACTAAGAATCCAATTTGGGCACGCAGAGCCATTTTGTCGCTTTTCTTGGTGTCGATTTTAACGTATGCCTTAGATCCGAAGAGAAATAGATTACCGACATATGGTTTCTTCCCAAAGGCTTTTTCATATGGAGTCATATAGCCTAGTGATTCAATCGGGGTTCTATTCATGATCCAGACTGCTGCTTTCATGGCCTCTGGCCATAATCCTGGCGGTAGATTGGCTTCCTCCAACAAGCTTCGAGATTTCATAGTGATGATTCCACCGGCTCGCTCGCTAGGGCCATTCTGTTCTGGTGTATATGGCACAGTCACTGTCAGCTTGATTTTTTGCTTATGACAATATTCTTTGAAGCTGATCCCATTGAGCGAGGACTCTCCATCCATATGAATCTCATCGACTTTTGTCTTGAAGGTATGCTCAATCTGTTCAATCAATGTTTCGAGATCAAAGTTCACTGACTTCGTACGAGTCGTCGCTAGGGCATGGAACTTAGTGTATGGATCGACTGCATGTAGGGCGTACGAGTCCTTGTTGATTGCCATATTCATGACAATAATATCAACAAATAGGACTTGGAAGGGTCTTGTCGGTGGTGTCATTGGTACCCTACTAATTTTCTTTCGCGCCTTTGTAAGCTCGCAGACTTCGCACTTCTGTTGGAATCCTTCATCGTTCCTGGCTGATATTTCCTTGGTAACAACTGCTCCCTCAGTGGCTTCCTGAATCTTTGCAATTGAGCTGGTTTTGATATGAGCAAAACGTTTATGCCACACCTGTGCGGGATCTTTCAAGACATTCTTTTCAAATGAACTGAAGACTAGTTCATTTGATAGAGAAGTCCTAGTATTCTTGTTCGATTCCCATTCGATCAAGAATAATTTTCCATCACACTTGACACGACAGAGATCGCTATTCGTTTTCTCATCCCACAGTCGTTCAGTTTTGCCATCAAACCTGATTCCATGTTCCCGGAGCTTGCTCGCTGAGAGGATTGTCGTGGGAAATCCTTCGATATACCACATTTCTAGGATTCGTATTCCTTTGCGCTTAACGATATCATGTATAGGATCCGTTGGATGAACAATATATTGTCCTGGTCCATGCATTTTGATCTCTATCTTTCCTGTCTGAATCATTCGTACATTCGATTGCATATTTATCAGTCGCTCTCGATTATTGGTGATGTGGGCTGTCGCTCCAGTGTCATATAAGGTCTTGTCCCATAGGTCAGCGTTCCTGCCTGAGGCGGATAATACAGTGCTAACCACACTCTGTAGGACCGGTGGCTTTGTATCATTGAGCAATCCCACAAACTCGTCTGAATCATATACCAAATTTGCTGATTCTTGGTTCTCACTATTCTTCTTTGTGTCTGTTGAAGAACCAGTTTTCTTCTTGTCCTTATTTTTCTTCTGAAGTTCTTCTTTAACAGACCTTAGAGCCTTGCCTAGTCGATTGTATCGGCTCTTCTCTAGGCGGTCGAATTTTCTTTGTATATCTTCATCTGGTTTCCAATTGGCGGTACGTTTTTCTGTGTTCACATATGGACAATCTTCGAAACGATGATCTTGCTCACATAAGCACTTTCGAGACTCAGGCTTCGATGTTGTTTCGCTACGCTGATTCTTTTCAGGTTGATCGGATTTGTCGCCAAACGTCGCCATTGCAATATCTTTTCGAGAGGGTGAGGTTGTTTTGGAGTACATCTCGTTCCAAAGATCGAATGCGTTGATTACTTCGTCGAATTGAGGTTCTTTAAGTAGGATACTTGATTCAATGCCAAGGTCGAATTCCATGAGCTTGTTGGTCCACGTCTCATGAAATTTAGGTAGAATATCTTCCGATGCCTCGATGAAATCTCTAGCTAACCGTTCATCCGGAATCTCACTAAAATCCGCAAGGTCCATGTCCACTTTGAGCTCTTGCCATTTTTTCGAGAATTCCTTAGGTTTCATTCCTCGTTTCGGATTCATGAGTTCTCGGTGTCGCCTTATTAGCAAAGCTTTCTCCCTATTCGGCTTTGGCGCAAACTTCTCTTTGAGCTTTAGAACCATCTCTGTAACGTCGCTGATATTCCGTATCAGAGGTCGATGTCCAATATCAACGGTATCAAGAACGTACGATCGCACTTCCTTCATACGTTTTTGGTGCTTCTCGTATCGATCAAGTTTTCGTTCGTAAATACTCCAGGCAATTTGAAATTCAGTGAGCATCAAGTTCTTTTGCTCCACTGTTTGATTGGCTTCGTATACTGGATAGGTAGGTTCGACAGGTTTTGTTGGTGCAGGGTCATATATCATACGGTTCGGACTTGGGTCGACATATTCCCACACATTTTCCTTTGAGGCCTCTGATCTGAGTTGTTCGATCCACTTTCTCCAGTCATCCGATGACTTCAGGATTATCGCGTTCTTTTTCACGTCCATAGCTAATATCCGAGGTAGCTGTTTTGGGACTAATTCGAACCGAATCACAATCGAATATAACCGTTGGAGATGGGGTCGATGCTCTTTGTACACGCTTCCAAATTCGTTCTAAATTGAGGATTGGCACTGTGAATAGCTTCAAATATCGACTTGCTTCGTTCACAGGGACCCCAGGCTCATAACTATCGGAACTTGCAGTGCACTAGCACAAACTCAGTTAAGCTTAATACTCAAAGATATCTTTATAGTGGAAATATTGATATTGACTTTAATTCTGCGCACTCTTCTATCTACATCTTGAGGGGATTGTTGGACACTATTTATGCTTGAGAATCCCATCCACGCAATCTCAAATAGAAGATTCTCGACACAGAGCTGTAAAGTTGATTCGTAGATTCAATCTTGTGACTTCAATTCTCGAATTTTCCTTGTATCAATGTTGTAGGCTTTCCTTGATTAGGTTTAGCTTACCTAATCCTCGACATTATAGGCAAGTCACGTGCACCTTGGACCCAAATTGATACTAAAGCTTTTACGGCTAGCGGTCAGGTTGGCCTACATAGCTCGTCGTCCAGGAACTAGTCCGTACTTGGAGTTGCCGAGAATAACTTCCAACGCATGACGAAATGGGCCTTGATTGCATAAATATAAAATCATTTCGTGCTTTATGTTCTTGCTTCATGACCAAATACTACCACGGAATTAAAATACGAAGAATTTCACCCTAGTGCCTGGGAGCCAGAATCTGATAGCGATATTTTAGAAGTTCAGATATGGCTCACTCCCGTCCGAATGCTCAAGGGTCAGAATCTTCCGCATACATGGCTCACTTCCATCCGAGTGCCTACGGGTCAGAATCTTCTTCTGATAGTGAAACTTCAGATATGGCTCAATTCCACCCTAGAACCTTGACGCCCGCTTCTATAGACCTAGCAGACCCAGGTACCACGAAGCCGACACTAATCACATCTGCTTCAAGAGCTAGCACTAAGCAAGGGTCTAAAAAAGGCTCAACAAATGTTAGATTGAAAAAAATACAAGCATATATAGAGGAACTAGAGGGCGAAATCTCAATGATGATGCATCAGTTAGTGATGTATAGGGAAATGGCTGAGGAGCTTATTCAGCAAATTTTCGATGAGGCGAGAAGAGAGATATCCGGGAGCTTTTGAGTTTATTACAACATCTAGATCAAGTATATCGAATCCATTTTTAAGCCTATCTATTTGTGTCCTATCTTTCAGAACCTAGGTCTCATACGATCGCGAGCAAAGTAAGGGTATGAATATTAAAGCTTGATTCGTCTTTCCAGGTGGATAGTTTCCTTGATCCAAAACCTACTCGCTATCATTGATATCAGGCGATGAACAAAAGACGACTAAGATGAAATTAATTTTTCGAACGAGAATTCCTCCTGACGGCTCCCCTGCTTTGTCTCTTCTTTCTTGGTTTGGGCTCACCATAGCAGCCTAGGATAGCCTCGAGGTCATTCATTTCCTTCTTTTCGTTTGGGGTTTGTGCCTTGATATGTAGTTCACGAAGTCGTGATTTCATGGCGCAATCTTTCGTGAAGTTTATGAAACCTTCTCGTACAGGTTTCTTTGAAGAGCGTCGTAGACGCATAGATTTAAGGGGTGAAGCCGGGTTTTCGGAAGTAAGGACGATCACAGAATCTTTTGAAGTCTCGTTCATGCAGGTTTCAAGCCATTTCAGCGATGGGACCTCAGGTGAACGGAATGGGGATTGCAATAGAATTGATAAGAACTCGTCCCCGCGCTCTTCCTCGACGGGCGATGCGAGGGATTCCACAGATTTTGATGATGGGCTAGAGAGAGTGATATTGAGAAGTCTAACTAACTATCTGAGATCCGTGGCGTGCGAGGTTGATGTCCTTGCTACGATCACGCTAGGCCCAATGCGGTACCGACGTCTACCTGTATGGCGGTGGTCCCGTGAGATTTCGTTGCTGACAGTGGCATGTGGATAACTTCCGCTTCATCATCGTATGGGTTGCTCAGGTAAACGCTATGTAGAATTTTGTTTTGAGATTCGCCGCCCAACGAATCGACGACGTCAATCGCATTCGTGTTTGGCATGTTATAAGATTCTGGGCCAGTACGTCTGAAATTTCATTGGATGTCGAATAGCTATGTGATCTCGTCTCGGATACAGAATCGAAACGTCGACGTAGGAGTGAATTTGAATACTACACCTGTAAACTATCACGGGTAGTGGCCTTTTTATAGATGATTCTTGTCTTCGTGCATGGCATATTCATGATGTATGCCTATGCTAGGCAACCTTTGGTCACATCATACTTCCCTGCAATACGTATTTCCATGCGCAGTTAAAAGCCCCAAGGCTAAGCCTCCTATATGCTCCATACGGCCTCTGTCCCTGATCACCTCACTTATTGCAGTGGCAGTGCACGATTCTAGCGTATGAGCTATTTGTTGTGCCGTCCAGGGGGTCCGGAACTAGACTGAAATCAATGGTCAAATGCCCTTCCAAGAACTGTTTCTAGTAAGGTCTTAAACACGAGTAAAAAGAATCACAGCTAGCGTATTGTGCGTCTGTTAAATCATAGATGAAGTTCCAGATCTCAAACACCGTTTGCCTTAGATACCGAAATGAGTCACTGTCGAGCTGCAATTGAGCCTTGTACTGTTCATGCTTATTGGATGTCGAAAGTCAAACTCGTAGTTGCTATGCGATTTTATGAAATCCTATTTGCATCAGCCTTGCATTTTCCCAAACGTCATCTAGTCCACTGTGGAGTCTACAGATACAGATGGTGCCGCAAGAATATCCCTTATGACTAGATCCATTTCTCTTGAATCTAGAAGAAAAATGACATCAGGTCTTGCACCAAATTCAGGCCCTAAAATGCGGGCTAAGCGGAGGATATCTCGCTGGAATCAACTAGTGTATAAAAGCGAAGACTACCGAGAACACCATGTCAAAGTTCAAGCAGGCTGAGTGCTCTAGTGCTGGATTAGGGGCTGCAACCATGAGGGAATTGAAAGAAGATCCCTGCGGCGCGAAACACCTGACCGTGCAGCCCCGATCGTGTATAGAACCTGGCAATATCATGCAATTCCGCTGTGAGGTATTTTGGAATAGAGGGATAGCATGCTGATGCCGCAGACCATTGTTCCTTAAGCTACAATGCTACAAAAATTGTTTACGAATCCTAGGAAACAGCAGACCTATCTGAACGCAAGTCTAGTAACGCGATGTTCCTGAATACTATCACAATTTTTATCAAGAATGAAGAGTGTTTTTGTACTATCTAGCATAGTCAAGGCGGAACTGGATTTACTATTTTTGAATTCAAGGACGCCTTAGTGATTTCCATTCTGAGGTACCTAGCGGCCCCGTATGGTACGCTTATACGTCAAGAGAGAGCCTGGATTTGCAATGTGGCAGTGCCAGGCAAGGGGTTATCGTGAAAGCATCAAGCCCAGCTTGTCGATGCCAGTTTGAAACTTCAAGTTTCCTAACGTATTCGCATCCGGACATATGAAGCGAAGCGTGAAAACTCTTTTATATGATTCAACATATATATTCAACATGCTTTTGTAAAAATTCCAGAGTCAAAGTGCACCCAGCTCTAGCGCCATACAACAACTATCCGTAAGTGCTAGGGTAAAGTCCTCTTAAGTCTGTGTCGTCAGGCGAAGCTAAATGTCGGCAAGACAAGCCACGTAGCTGACTTCAGCATATTACTTTCACTATGTGGCATTAGTTGCATCATGTTGTCTTGCTATTTATACCTAGGCTGCGCAACCATGCCTGGATTGACATCAAGTCGATATTAACGATATTAACGATATTAACGATATTAACGATATTAACGATATTAACGATATTAACGATATTAACGATATTAACCGACACGTCATTTACCTGCCGAAGCTGTGCTCATTTGACTCGAAGTGAGATTCAATATATAAAAAGCGCTAAGCCGCTCGCTGGACGCCAGGTGCCTTTCTGTCAAAAGTTATTGACCCACGCCGCCATCCAATGCAACCATCAGATGGAAAATTTACGACAGCCTTCTTCCGCCGCGGCGAGCATGGAGCAAATAGACTTGCCGCCTTGGGCAATTTTCCAATATGAGGGCTCAGTTTTGAGTCAAGACCAGGAGAGATTATCTCTATCTAATGGTGCTGCGAGCAAAGAGATCTCAGTGCATTCAATCGAGATGGAAGACAGCGAACACGGTCGACCGGCAAGATCCTCACCACGGCCTCGACCTTCCCATGCCAATCGACCCAATGATTCCTGCCAAGTCCTCGCCGCAGCAATTGAAGAAGACATACGAAACCATGAATCAGCAAGCGTACGGTGAGTTCTAGACAGTTTTGAAACGCAAACAGAAACATGATCCGCCGAATCAATCAAGTAAGCGCGCTTCAAATAAGACGCGCCGAACGAAGAGATCAAGAGGTTGTGCAGACATACCAATCCCCTCGGTAGAAGAAGAGAGTGACTCGCTACAAAGTGTCAGTTTCGAGGACAAGAATACGTGGTGTGCACAGTATAAGGTTCCCGTTTTCATCTCTGAGGGCGTGCTCGTTGGATTTTGGTCCGTAGATGCGAGTGGAAATGGGAGACGACCGGTATATTGCTTGGTCAAAGATGATTTTGAGTTCGCCTTTCTCAGAGGACCGACATTTGTCCTCGTACGATACGTCGATTTTGATCCTCTGGATGTATTCGGCGACTGGTTGGGAGAAGATACAGAGGATCCAGGTGCTATGAGCCCAGAACAGGTAAAAGAGTGGGTAAAAATGATGTGGGAGAGCAGAGCCCATGGGATCCACGACACGACATTTGAATGTACTTTGGGCAATTGAGGCACGAACCCAATCCGTTGCTGGACCTCATAAAGAAGAAGAGACAAAGGATTTTGCTAGCAGGATGTGAGACTAGACTGAATTTACTAATAGTGGATGAGTGGATGAGTGTTGACTCTCTTGTATCTATGACAATCATGGCTCTCCATGTCTTCTACAACTTAGAACAATTTCCAAGACTTCATGATAGAGTTTCGGATGGTGGCATTGCTCACTAAATCTCTAATGTTACTGATTACAAAAGTAAAGCACGAATTCGGACTTCTTTGAAGAACTTCTATCTACTATGCAACCACATACCTTTCACAACTAAAGAACTACATACTGATGAACTATTGGGGGATTTATGTGCTAGCACCAACAAGGTATCTATATTGTTCGGTGCTTCTTCTGCACTAGTCCTATTCATTTTATGTAAGATACTAGCCAGTTTTATCAACAAACGATATCCAAATCCTCCTATCCGATTCAAAAAGAATATATCCTCAAGTCCCGATCCTAACAAACGTTCCAAATCAAGGATATATGTCATATCCTGTGTCTAATAGATTTGACAAATCCCCATTAACGTACGCTTAGCGTTTAATAATTCCAACATGTTGGATGGCGGAATAGGCTGTAGTAGCGGCTCAATAAGGAGGAGAATGAGGTACTTGGGCCAACTAGAGAAAAGCGTTTCACCAAGTTACATTCCGAATATTTACGATGTGCACTCCCTTCCTTCGGGCTGGACAGGCTACTAACCAATGCTGTCCCAGTTTGAAGAAGATATCTCGATCAGTCTTGAGGAACCGACAAGGGGAAGAAGTGAATGGTAAAAGCGAGAACATTGGTGCAGGAAGGAAAGACCTGGATTGATAGTCTGGCTGTAATTTCTGGGTTATGACAGGAAAATCCACTTCTCTTCCGTGTTGCTTACAAGGAGAGCTTAACTTCCCAAGCCGCTAGGCTTGATAGCAAATGGGAATTTTGATCGCCTTGGGCGGATGTCTCAAAATAATGTCAATCCAGAGGTGCGGTGTTTATGCGCTCGCTCAATCTCGATGTGACCCTGGTTGTGTCATGAGATTCCCTGTGAGTCAACAGCGACGCTAAAATCTAGTAATACGACATTCGAACGAGACATGATCCCCTCTTTCATCTACAATACTGCCAATGGTAGAGCATGGTTCGTTTTTCAGCTGAGTGGGCTGTAATGACATGCGCAGCAAGGCGCTCCCTCAGTCGTAATTACTCATCACATGTGTAGCAAGTGTCGCAATTAAGATCGTGCCAACCCGGACGAAACCAGCCCCGTCTCGAAGGTGGCAATTTTCATATTCAAAAGCATAGTTTTACCACAAGGCTAAACACTGCCCAGTCACGGCAGAGGCGGTCAAAACACACCCACAGCTCATAAATACCAGAGCTTTCCCATCAAATTTTCGCTACCGTCCAACTTTGACATACGAGAGTCACGCACAGGACTGTCTCAGGTCACGATCAAATTTATGCGACAATCCGACTTCCAGAAAAGGTTGTCTCAATAATTGATTCTTTGATCGATTACATTTGCGTTATTACTTATGGCGATTACACGTCAGCAAGAGCTCCGCAAAGGGATGAAGCCGCACAGAGTATCCAAAAGGACCATTGCTACGAAAAAATCTCCCAACATCTCGAACAAGTACAAGCTCTCTTCACGGATTATCGATCTCATCAAGCAAAATGCCACGGATGAAGATATCAAAAGTGAGCTGAGCCGCAACAACAGCCGCCTACCGTTTCAGCCTCTTATAACCAAGGACGCCTTTTATCATGCCGCCAAGAATGGGCGCTACGAAATCATTCCTCAGTTACTTAAAAGACAAGACAATTTCAGGTGGAATTCCCTGCACCTGGCCGTGGCATATAACGATGAAATATTCATACTACAACACTTCGGCTCCACGATTCCTGAGCTCGGCTGCTTTGGGGAACGAGGGGACACCCCACTGCATCTTGCAATTCGCATGGGCAATCCTATGATGTGCAAGATTCTGCTGGAAAACGGGTGCTGGGCAAAGTATGAGGGCGATGATAAAGATTGTATAGGCCATATTGCAATTGAAGAAATAGCGCGGGATTGCAATTACAAAACTGTATGGGATTGGGCTGAATTCTTGTTGTGGCTTTACAAAAATGGAGGAATGTCTCTGGACACAAAGACCTCAAAGAGCCATCAAACTGTTGAGGACCTTATGAGGAAATGGGAGATTCCTACGCCAATCAAGACCGTCATGAGGGATATCAAATTTGGCAAAAACCTCGGAGGTCTGCCCTAGTGTTCATTTGAGAAGAGTTCAATGTTGTTTCACATACTGTATATCCCAGTGAAAATAGGGGTTATAATGTGATTAGTGAGAACGCTCAGAAAGGCCTTCTTATACTAGCAAAGAAGCGCCATTGTCTAAATTCGGCTTCATAAACTTGATTTCCAACCAGATCCAATCTATATCTCCGACTCACATTTTACACAAGAATAGGCCCATTTTCCTTATTTAGGTTGATCTTGTTAATTTCCAACCCTCGTGATTCGTCAGTAAATTGGGGTCTCTTGCAAGTCCTGCAAAAGTTACGTCAAATTGTCGGAAAACTTCGGTCAAACTACCGTCGAGTATATCTCGGATAGCTTATAACACGCTGAAGTTATAAGGCTTCTAAGTACGAAAGGCTTCTTGAAAGCAAAGTCTTAATATAAGGATGAATATCCGGTTCGATAGAAGAACGTATACTCAAGTTGTCAAAGCTAAGGGGTACTTAGCACGGTTAATTCAAGACGATAGAGTAAAGCTAGCTACAGGGTGAATGAGCGTCCTTATATACCTTATCCCTATCATATCCTTCATATCCTGTCTCCTACAATGGGCTCTGATGGATCGGTTCTGCCTTGTCATAGTCATCATAGCCATGTCCTAACATCCGGATATGTTGGCTCTGATACCCTAACCCTAATGGTTTCGGATAATCCTTGCTTCCGTAGTGCAGTAGTGTAACACTATCTAGTCAATCCATTGGCTGCGGATTCTTGATTCTTCTGACACAAATGTAACAGTCTCCGTGTCCCAGGCTGTCGGGATACACTACCGCTTGATACAGGTCAAAAACCTCCTTTCTGTCTCCGTTTTCGTGTCGCACTACGGATTACTACTAGACCCGATAGTCAGCCTTGAATTTGCGTGTCATTAGTGTCGCTTGGCACCTTACCTTCGGATTGGAGATCCAAGCTTATGGGCTTGGGTCTTACAATCAGAGATTAAAGACCCCGGACTTTACCGGAGTCAGTCGAAAGGCTTCTGAAGAAATAATGATCTCAGATACTTGATTTCGCGAGAAAAAAGGTGGAGTACAGGCGCTATTTGCCTACTTACCCGATCCGCTTTAGAGTAAGAATATTCTGTAAACCCGTAAGGTGTACGAGCCCATTTTGTTCTTCGCTAAAATTTTGTTGAATGGCACAGTCATAAGAGCAGGCAATTTTCAGCCGAGTACTGTGTTACTTTCGAAGTTAATTATAGAGACGAGTCTCTGCGTTTCCAAAGTGTCGTCAGGATAGAGTTTTGCTGATGTACGAAATAAGCATGCATTAGCGCTACAGCCATGTGGGGCCGGGATCTCCCTTTTCGATACAGTAAACCCTGTGTTACGAAGCTGAATTGCATGACGCTAAAAGGTACTATTACGGAAAAGGAAAGGTTTCAAATTACAAGAAGAAACCAGTACCAGTCATGAACAGTAAAGCGTACTGTGCAATCAGAAGACAGAAGTCATGTGAGGATAAGGAAGATAAATGGTATACACAATGAGCTACGATCATTGGATGATGAACAGTATATCATCTACCATCTACCATAAGTGATAGACGATATACGGTATACGGAACAAGGAGGACTGGATATATAAGGACGCTCTTTTACCATCATGTATTTAGTTCTTCATAGCTCTTTGACATAAGTCACTTGAATACAACAGTAAGAGTCAGCAAGGCATTCTAACTCGTATGGGCACCAGGCTGTACGGGGGATCTCTTCTATCTTAGTTTGTTACTATTCCTAGTCACCGTCCCATTACCGTTCGATACTTTGTTACGTACGATCCATCACGCTCCACTACTTTATTGGTTGGAACCTGTGCGAGGTTCAATTATCCTAATGTATCACGACGCACTGCTGTTAGAACTAAGGTGGATCCAGGTCCGTGATAAAAGAGCTATTGTCTTGACTCCGTGATACTTTAGGGCTTAAGTACTATTGAAAGAAAATTGCCAGATAAGGAAAGTATTACCCAATTAAGAAATTAATAATGGCAGGAAACACCACAACACCAACTAGCAGTACTGTTGGAGGGAACAGTGACGTGACTAGGCTTCAGTTAAGAATCCAAGAACTCGAAGCGCAATTGGCAGCAAAACAACCCAAGACACCCAAGCCTCAAATCTTCGATGGCAAACGATCAGAACTTAAGAATTTCCTCACGCAAATGGACATGCATGTAGCGATCAATGCAGTGTCACTCGGAACCGAAGAATCTAAGGTAGTCTTTGTGGTAACGTGCCTCACTGGGGAAGCGTTTCAATGGATTGAACCAGTGCTTAGGGAATACTACAACAGTGAAAAGAAGGATTGGAGCGACCACACTAAGGAAATATTGGGATCCTTCAAGACATTCAAAGAAAAGTTTCAACTCGCGTTTGGCAATATCGACAAGGCAAGAAATGCAGAAAGGCAACTACGACAACTACGACAGACAGGATCTGCACGACAATTAGCAATCAAATTCAAGCAAATCGCCATGATACTTGACTATAGTGACGACGTACTCATTGCAATGTTTAAAAACATGCTAAAGGAAGATGTTCAAGTAGAACTCATCAAGATGGATCGACCAGACGATATCAACGAGTTTATCGAACAAGCTGTCAAGATCGACGACAAGCTGTACGAAATCAAGCAAAAACGACAAGAAATACAAGGATGGAGACGCCACGGAATGGCACTACCAGCAAATCAACGACGACATAGGTTAGGCAATCATGGGCAGAGATAATACGACCCATATAGACCAATGCCAATGGAACTCGATGCAACCGCAGAAGCAAAAACCTATGAAAAGAAGAAAGTTAGGTTCGACAAGACCACGGTCAAGTGCTACAACTGCAACAAGATAGGACACTATGCAAAAGAATGCAGAAGCCCAAGAAAAGAAAGACAGATCAAAGCAACGCAAGAAAATGGCTTTAACGAAGAAGACTAAGAAAGATACACTGAATGGGATAACGACTATGGCGTTAACGACTATTAGAATGACAAAGACATATGCAGCAGCTTTAGCGGAACAGAAAGCGAAATGAACCTCCACCTCATAACAATACATACAGAAGACTACGGAGAGGTAGGAAACAAAAACAACAGGGTTAACGATTATCCAGAAATTGATGACGAGCCTGAGAGCCAGTACCAGGATGCTCAAGAACGGCCAGAAACAGAAATCCCCACAGACGACGAATGGGAAGAGATTAAAGCACTAGGAAACCCATGCAGATCAGATTGTCAAGTGCTATACAAAGACCCAAAACATCTAGGGCATGGATCCATTGCATTTATCTTCTGTAATGACGATTGGTGTAGTGTGCATCTGGGTGCAAAACAAGGGAGTGGATATTTTCCGAAACCACACCAAGAGATAAAGTCAGAAAACTGCAAATGGCTAAGAAGGGACAACGAAGGACCCTCAAGGATCAGTTTGGCGAAAACTGACGATACCGCTATGCCCAATATAGCGAAGCAGTCGGCAGGGACTGGGGACACGAATGAGGCCCAAAAGCCTGAAGGACCGAAGCGAAGACAACGAACAATAGTACCACTAAGGAACAATGAGGAAAGTCCAGAAGAAGACAGTAACGCTACGAGACAGCAAAAGATTGAAAATGACATAAAGCAGTTAATGCGCGAGTGGACTACACTATGAAAAGAAGAAATCAAACAAATTGGAAAAGCAAAAGACTTGAAAGCCACCGCACACGGACGACACTTCAAGATAACGGCCAATATCTTGGGAAGTGACGTACGAATCATGATTGATTCAGGAGCGACAGGGAACTATATGGACCTAAGAACACAAGAAAAACTGCAGATACTAGGACAAAAGAAACCTACACTAATACCATTGACAGGGCTTAATGGAGAGAAACTGTCAGAAGAAGGAATCACCGACGAAACAGGATGGTTAGCCATGAGCATTGACGGACACCTCGAGATGATCAACTTTGATATTGCGAAACTAGGAAGAGACGACGTAATCCTAGGAATACCATGGTTGAGAAAGCACAACCCAGAGATCCAATGGGATAAAGGACACCTACATTTGACGAGATGTAGATGTGGAACAACCCAGACTATAAAAGCCTCTGAGACGACAGAGAGCCAGGAGATCGACATTCAGGAAACAATGGATACTCCTCAACAGGATGAGACCAAGGGCAGGGTCATCGCTGAAGTCACGGAAGAGATTACGCTGCATGAAGAACAAGAGATGTTCAGGAAACTCTTAGAGAAAGCGGCGAAAGAACGACAACTTGCAAGCAGTATGAACGTTGCGTTACCAATAGAATACGAGCAGTTCAGAGATTTGTTTGACAGAACATACCAGGCCTTACCAGACCACAATGAATGGGATCATACTATTCCACTTAAGGAAGGAAAAGAGCCAGTACCTCAGAAGATTTACCCAGTGTCGGGAAATGAAGAAGAAGCTCTGAAAAAATACATCGAAGAAAATCTAGAAAAAGGGTACATACAACCATCGACATCACCGGCAGGATACCCAGTACTATTTGTCAAAAAGAAAGGAACAATAGATTTGAGAATGTGTGTTGATTTTCGACAACTCAACAACATTACGGTTAAGGACAGTTACCCCTTACCACTGATCACAGAGATACAAGATAAAGTTCGAAACAAGAAATGGTTCACTAAACTTGATATCACTGACGCATATAATTGCCTCAGGATCAAGGAAGGAGAAGAATGGAAAACAGCATTCAAGACCAAGTTTGGACATTTTGAATATTTAGTCATGCCATTCAGGCTCACCAACGCACCAGCAACATTCCAGAGATACATCAACAATGTGATCTCACCATATTTGCATGACTTTACCATCACTTACTTAGATGACATTTTAATATTCTCCAACAGCATGGAAGAACATGTGAAACACGTGAGATTAGTACTCGAACGACTAAAAACGGCAAAACTACAAGTGAAACTGAAAAAGTGCGAATTCCATGTACAAGAAACTGACTTCTTGGGACACAGAATCACACAAGAAGGAATACAAACAGAAAAAGAGAAAGTTCAGGCAATCAGGGATTGGCCTCAACCAAGGAACCTCAAGGAACTACAGTCATTCATTGGACTGATCAACTACTATCGACGATATATTGAAAACTACGCAAAGATCATGACACCGATGTTCAAGTTACTGAAAAAGGAAATACCATATGAATGGAACGAAGAACAACAAAAGGCATTTGAAGAAGCCAAGAAACGACTCACAACGGCACTTATTTTGGCACAACATGACCCCGAATTACCAACAACATTGGAAATAGACGCATCAGACTTTGCAATTGGAGCAACCATGACTCAACCAGGAACAGATGGAAGACCCAGACTAGTTGCATACTACTCAAGAAAGCTCATCGACGCAGAACTCAATTACGAGATACACGATAAAGAACTGTTGGCTATAGTGTCAGCACTTCGGCATTGGAGAGTATATCTCGAAGGAGCAACATTTCCGATACGAATCATTACGGATCACAAGAACCTTACCTACTTCACGACAACAAAGGTATTGACAAGAAGACAAGCCAGATGGTCAGAACTACTAGGAAATTACTAGTTTACTATCGAACACTGCAAAGGCAAGGAAAACGAAAGAGCAGACGCTCTCAGCAGACGACCAGATCACGAAGAAGGAATCAAGAAACCCGAACCAGCATTACTACGATTAAACAAAGAAGGACACTTGGAGTATAATCCACAAGTGGCTACACTCGCAGCAACGGCAGAGACGATAACAGATTCAGAATTACAAGACAAAATCGTTGAAGAAACGGCCAAGGACGATTTAATTCAGTCTTTAATCGAAAATGAAGACGACAAAGTTATAGCAACAGAGACAGGATTAGTATTTTGGCATGGTTTAATCTATGTACCAAAATCACTAAGAAACGAAATCATTCGACTCAATCATGACACTTTAACTAGCGGTCATCCAGGACAACTCAACACAATGGAACGAATCACCAGGAATTACTACTGGCCATGAATGATGAAAGACATCGAAATCTACATCAAGGAATGCGACGCATGTCAGAAAAACAAGATCAGCAGACATTAACCATACAGGTTACTACAGGAAATCAAAGCACCAGATTACTCATGGCAATGGATTATGATGGACCACATTGTCAAACTACCAGAATCACGAGGATGTGATGCTATTCTAGTAATAGTGGATAGAATGACGAAATACGCACACTTTATACCGACAACAGAAGGAACCAACGCTGAAGAATTAGCAGAAGAACTGATAGACGGAGTGTTTCAACACCATGGAATATCAGAGATCATCATCTCAGACAGAGGACCTACATTCGCATTAAAACTATGGAAATCAATGATGGACCTTATGGGAGGAGAGCAACGACTATCAACAGCATTTCACCCACAGACAAATGGACAGACAGAAAGGACAAACCAGACATTGATACAATATCTACGGCACTATGTGAATTACCACCAGGACAACTAGGCAGAACTACTATCTATGGCTCAGCTGGTATACAACTCAGCAAAACATTCGACAACCGGTGTATCACCATTCTTTGCAAACTATGGACGAGAACCACGATTAATGGGACAACCAAAGTTCAAGGAATCAGTCAACGCTACAGCAGAAGAAAAAGTACAATAAATGAAGGCGTTATATTTCTATCTCCACATGGAAATCATCAATCAAAACAAACTTACGACAGGATATTACAACGAAAAACATCAGAAGGGACCTAACTTTAAAAAGGGGGAGAAGGTTTACCTTTCATGGAAAAACATTCAAACTACCAGACCAAGCGACAAACTCGATCACCTACGAATTGGACCATTCGAAATTGAAGAAAAGATTAGCGAAGTCAACTACAAACTGAAACTACCCAATACTATGAGAGTACATCCAATTTTTCATATCTCATTATTGGAACCAGCACCACAGAACGCTAAAACACAGGAGGAAATCACTATCGAACAAGAAACCTATGAAGTTGAAAGCATATTAGCGGAGAAAGAATCACCAGACGGAAAATTCTATTACCTAGTCAAGTGGAAGGACTACAGCACCAAGGAAAGCACCTGGGAACTTATTGAGAACCTTGTTGGAGCTGAGGAAGTTCTAGAGAGGTATTGCCAACGGCATCCAACGAACCGGAGGGAAATTGTTCAGAACTGGCGAGCCACGCATCAAACTCCTCGACGGTCGCAGCAAGAGCACGGGATTCCAGTTGTTCTCTCATAATCTCAGCATCAGCAGCAGCCACTTCGGCCTCAGAAGGAGGATTCTTGGAATCCAGAATCTCCAACATTTTCTGATTATGAGACTGCATACTCATACCACGCTCTTTAAGGAAATCCTTTTGTTTCCGCAAACGACGAACTTTGATAAACAACTCTTGTTGAGCCATGAAAGCTTTTTCTAACTTAATCTTGGCCTCTTCAAGTTCAGACTTCACTTTATCCTCGGCATTTTTCAAATCATTCCATTCTTTTTCACTATGAAACCGGCGTTCACACGGACGGCCACGACGAGTGCAAGCGGCACATTTTACTTTATCCTCGCTCATCATACAGACGTAGTTGTTATGACGACAATGCTCACAAGGGAAATCGGCAATGAATCTGTTCGATTTGATCAAGGAAGAATTGATGATGCGATTTTTGGTTTGATCTCTTTTCTGGCGCACAGGATCAGTTTTTGGAATTGTTTTAGGACGAGGCATGATGAAAAGCGCAAGGACAACATCACTTACCAACGGAAGAAAGCAGGGTCACGCTGGGAACGAGGGCGCGTCTTTCTACTTATACTATCGAGGACGATAGGCTGAGAGAGGGGGAGTGATGTTACGAAGCTGAATTGCATGACGCTAAAAGGTACTATTACGGAAAAGGAAAGGTTTCAAATTACAAGAAGAAACCAGTACCAGTCATGAATAGTAAAGCGTACTGTGCAATCAGAAGACAGAAGTCACGTAAGGATAAGGAAGATAAATGGTATACACAATGAGCTACGATCATTGGATGATGAACAGTATATCATCTACCATCTACCATAAGTGATAGACGATATACGGTATACGGAACAAGGAGGACTAGATATATAAGGACGCTCTTTTACCATCATGTATTTAGTTCTTCATAGCTCTTTGACATAAGTCACTTGAATACAACAGTAAGAGTCAGTAAGGCATTCTAACTCGTATGGGCACCAGGCTGTATGGGGGATCTCTTCTATCTTAGTTTGTTACTATTCCCAGTCACTGTCCCATTACCGTTCGATACTTCGTTACGTACGATCCATCACGCTCCACTACTTCATTGGTTGGAACCTGTGCGAGGTTCAATTATCCTAACGTATCACGACGCACTGCTGTTAGAACTAAGGTGGATCCAGGTCCGTGACACCCTGTGTTACGAAGCTGAACTGCATGACGCTAAAAGGTACTACTACGGAAAAGGAAAGGTTTCAAATTACAAAAAGAAACCAGTACCAGTCATGAACAGTAAGACGTACTGTGCAATCAGGGGACAGGAGTCACGTGACGATAAGAAAGATATACCGTTATCTTATCGAAGATAAGGACACTACGAAACTCCAATATCTGATTGGATAGGAAAGATAGTATCGTAGTAAGGTATGGGATAGTACACTACGATACTTCGTTACATACGATCCATCACGCTCCACTAACTCATTGGCTGGAACCTGTGCGAGGTTCAATTATCCTAACGTATCACGACGCACCGCTGTCAGAACTAAGGTGGATCCAGGTCCGTGACACCCTGGATATAAGCACCTAATTCAGACAGCCCAAAAATGTGCTATAACCCAGGTGGTGCTATACGTCGGGTGCCCATACAAAAATATATATATCTCTATATCAATCGCATATTCAAGCCCCCTCAACTCCAATTTGACGATTTTGACGACGACGATTTGCCCTAATCTCGTAGAGCTCATATATCAGTATCAATCTGTATAGAATCAACGAGAGTCCGCGGCGCAGTCGGTTGCTTAATACGCTCGTCATCGCGGCTATACGCCAATATGTGATGATTACAGTCTAAACCCATCCGAAGCGTATCAACGACACGATTACGTGTGGAATCCAATATAAATCTGATATTAGAGTATAAGAAGGGATCGGGGCTCTTTTTTTATCTATAATATTGATTCCGGGGCCGCGGGTGCCTCCATACGGGATATAAAAACTCTACCAAAAAAGAAACCTCACGAACTCCCTGAGAATTGAACTCGGAGCGTCTTCAAATTATATTGTGTCGTAAATCCAAATGGAAATTAATGAGGCTTAAGCGGATCCAGTATTGCATCATGATTGCATCGTCCATTATCTAAAAAAGCGACAGATATCTGTTTGACGCTGCGTAGCAACTTTCTCCTTTGTAAGCAGATTTTCGTACCAGGTAAGAACTTGAATAAAAGAGGTATCGGCTTTATCACGTTGCTCCTCAAAAAGATGAAGAGTATAAAGGCCTTATAAAGCCTCTTGGGATGTAATGAGTGGAATAGGCTCCTCAACAACATCTTCCTCCAGCTCATCAGTCTGAGGGAGTTCGAATTGGCTTAGAACAATATTATCAATATCCATCACTGTATCGTTGACTTGCTCATCTGGAGAATTCAGAAATTGATTGATATCCATGACATCTTGAACCCAGTTTGTAAGCTTTAGATCCTGCAGACTATTCTCCAAATCATATATCAATAACGCGCTCTCAAACTCCTCCTCAGTCTCATCATGAAGAGCTTTCTTGAAGCAATTGGTAATTGTTGTTGATGTGACTTGATCTTCCCATATATTAACTGCCCACCGTACGGCACGAAGGATTGTCATTGTAGATAGAGGATCAATTCCACAATCGAATTCGTCAATAATATATCGAACCCACTGTTGCTTCCATAGAGCCTTCCAAGCTTAGATAATCCCTTGATCAAGAGGTTGATATTTTGTTGTTGAATTAGGGGGAAGCCATATAACAACTGTATGCTTTAGATCTGCGGTGACCTCCTTAACTGCAGCTTCATGCGCAGAAAAGTTATCCATCAATAGAATCACGTGCTGGCCTGCCATTTGCGCGTCGAACGCATAAAGCCATTCCTTAAAGATATCCAAAGTTATTCATGCCTTCCCATTAGACCGCCAATGGATACCAAGATTATAAGGCTCAATATGAGTGTGAGTAAATGCTCGTGGCTTTTTTGCATTGCTAATAACCTAAAGAGGGATTTGCTCCGAGCCATCCGAATTGCATGCAAAAAGAATACTAATTCGTGCCTTATCTTTCTTGTGGCTGGGCAGGGAACGTATTGAGAGACCCCAATCAGGGAATAACTTCCAATATAGACCGGATTCATCACAATTAAAGATATCTTGTGGAGGATATGAAGCAAGAAGTTGACGAATCTTGATCATTTGATCTGCAGCATCTATAGATAAGCTTGCAGCTTCTCCATGATGTTTTCTGCTCTTTATATTATTCCGTGTTTGGAATCCAAATAGCCAGCCATTGCTAAATGATGGTGTAGGATCATGAGGATATAGATGTTCCCAGTATTGCTGCGCTTTGTAGCATATAGCTTCCTGTGAGATAGGAGCTTCGGTCTCAGCTAATCTTATCCAATCCATGACAGCCTTCTCTAACTTAGGCCACTGCTCAACACGGCGTTGTTTATCCTTCAATTGATACTCTTGGAGCTCGTCAATGAACGCGTATTTCGACGAAAGGATTCGTGTTACTGTAGCTCGATCGATTGATTGATTGTATGTATCTTCAAACCATTTTCTCAAATTTTGATGCGTGAGATGGTGATTGATTTGGTGTTGAGCGTGTAGGGCTGCTTTCCACTCGTTAGGGATAGCTTTTTGGCTCGTTGAGCGCGTTGTTGCAGCATATTTGACGGATATTTGATGACTTGACGTTGGAAAATGCTGAGTAATCTTCCTGGTTATAAGCACTTTTGTATGGGAGCTTAGAGATGATGGTGCTTATGTCTTATAGCCAGGTATAAAGCACATTTGTATGAGGAATGAAAATTTTTCAGATTTTCGGTGCTATAAGTCGGGTTGTACTATAAGCCAGGGATCTTATATCCAGGGTTTACTGTACTACGGCAGTCTAATGTGTCTTTAACATCGCAATTCGTAATCAGCTAGGAATACATCTGCGCACGTCCATAATTCTAATTCCACAAATTCAATTTTCAAACCTCGCGCACCTATGAAAACGCACCCACGCAGGTAAAAAGTACTGCTGGAAAGAATCTCAGTGAAAATAGACCTCCTTGACAGTCTATTTACCAACTTTTGCCTGCTCAATCGACGTGGTTGAAGCATGGGCCCGAAAAGAGGTAAAAAGGGCACTCCGTGGCCAGAACCACGGTTTGCAGAGGACCCTGATATACGCGCATACGTAGCTGCAGCCATCAAAGATCTCGAGGCACTGAAGAAGCACCAAGAAGCACTGGAGATTGGCATGCCCCGTGAGCTCTCGACTTCCGTGGTTGACGCGTTCTTATACCTGGCTCGAAGGGTGAAGAATACGCCTACGAATGAGCAACTAGCGCAGCGGCTCGCGAAGGTCGAATTACACGTGGAAAAGACGCAGAAAGAGGTATCTCAGGCCTCTCGAGAGATTACTACGACCAAAAGCAACACGAACCGCCTGGTGGAGGCAATATGCCACCCAACATCCCCAGGTGTGTGTGTGTGTGTGTGTATATATTTAACGGCCGTGGTTCGTGACTCGCACGCTTCCCACCGATCCCTACTGGGACATAGGCCGCCGAGGGGTAAGCCTCGGGTTTCAGGTCCTATCAGATTTATGTACAAATAAGAGACTCTTTGGCGCATTTCCATAGCTGCCGTGGTCTTACAGGGAGGTCCACTTTGAGTGGGTTTTAGATATTTGCCAGCTGCAATGGTCCGCCTACACTCCATGACCTATTACTCCACCACTATTATAACTGAACAGTAAGTTTTGCAGAGAGGGAAAGAAAGAAGAGAAGAGAAAGAAAGAAGGAGAAGAGAAATATAAAGGAAGAGTAGGGCTGTCTTAGCTAGGTGCTAAGGAGAGGTTGGCGAGGGCAGATATCCTTAAAGAAGTGGGTCTCTGCTAGCCATGTAGCTAGCTTTTATGCTCCTTTAGCAGTGCCTAAGAGAAAAGAGATGACCTCAGAAGGGGGCCCAGGAGGCTGAGGGGCTCGTCTCTTAGCTATATGACAGAAGAAGAAGTGTAGAGGTGCTTTTCATGCTCTGCATTGGCAGAGAAGATAAGCATCATCATAGTTGAAGTATTTATGGTAGTCTGTAAAGTCTCCATAACCAGTATGGGCTGCAATAACATGGCCGAGGTCAAGTCGGTTGAGTTGAAGCTCCCCAGGGCGCTTAGGGGAAGTGGTTATTTCTAGATCTTGATAGCTCTGTGGTGCTACCTTCTCCCATTGTGACTGAGCAGCAGATAGGGATTGAGTCTTGGCGTATCTCTTTAGTGAGGCGTATGAGGATTTGTGAGGAGCAGGAGGGATTAAGGTAGCTCCCTCTTTAGTAGCGAGATCAGCTGCTTCGTTCTCAGGGATTTTAGCGTGTCCAGGGACCCATCGGATTTGGATAGATCCGCTTTTGGTGTGAGGAAGCCTTTTGCGAAGTGGCCAGGCGACTGCAAGGGTGCAGAAGAATTCAAAGATTTCTTGGGAAGATCCTGTAGAGGGAGATAGAAGGTGTATGGCAACTTCCAGATTGTCAAGGCAGATCCATAGGTTGGTAGCAAATTGAGCTGTTGGGTACGCTATTGCTGCTTAAGCGCCAGCTAGAGCTGCTTCTACTTCTGCGTCGAAGACCTCTTTCCCGTGTCCGTATGAGAGTGAGGAGCGGAGGAACTGATGGTGTGCTTGAAGTCCAATATAGCCACCCCCTGCACGTCCGTCTGCTAGCCTAGATCCATCTGAAAAGATTACAATATCTGAGCTAGGGATGGTACGTTGAAAAGCCATGAAATTAGCCGCTGCCTGTTCCTTAGTGCGTCCCATGGGAGCTCCTATTCGAGCTTGAGCATTCCCACGAGGCTCGCGAGGGTGCCAACATCCCCAGGGACACGTACCGCGAAAAATTCTCCAAGCTTCAGTCACGTGACAACTAGCTCAGAGTCGTACGTACAGGCCTGGGGACGTAAGGTGTCCTCGAACCCTCCCATGGTCCCTAGCGTGGGATTGAGTAGTGGAGGAAGCTTGCCATCAACCCCATATCCAAGCCAGGAGGACCTAGAGGTCTATCTGGAACATACCGATCCAAATATCCTCAACCCAATACGTCGATTCCCGGATAAGGTGGTGGAGAAGGAAAATCTCGTAATACACAGCACTCAAGACACTACCATCGCACATCGACGAATTGCGGCAGCCTGTATACTATCTAGTGGCGATATTATACTCTTACTAGGCACAGTGGACGACGTTGACCAGCTTACCTGTAAGAAGGACTGGATTAGGGCATTCGGAAACGAAGCACATATACAAAAATGTACATGGGGCGTCGTCGTACACGGTGTTAACACGAATATCAACCCCAAACAGCCTCAATTCATAACCACGCTTACCTCAGAGAACGCCCCGGTGTTCGCGCAGCTTCCAGCCTCTATGAATGTCACACACACGGGCTGGCTTCTAAGCGAGTATAAGATCAAGGAACAGAAGCTCACAAATGCCCACCTTGTAGTTATATTCAATGATGAAAGGATTGCTAATTTTGTAATCCAATGCGGCCTTATTATTAAGGGAAGACAGCACAATGTCTTAATATACGACAAAGTAGCCAATCTCCAGCAGTGCTTCAAGTGTCAGATGTATAAACATATTGCCAGGCACTGTCAGCGCCAGATCTGCTGCGCGTACTGCGCTGGATCTCATGATACAGGGGATTGCCCTACACCAAAAGAGAAAGAATACGCTAAATGTGCTAATTGCACCGCAGAAAATGTCCATATCAAAGATCCTGCCAAGAGACTCAATATGAAACACTTTGCGTACGCGAGGGAGTGCCCGATACGAGCTACATGCCTCGCAGAGGCACATCAACGACGTATATACGACCCACAATATCACACTCCTGTAATACGACCTGGCAATATTTAGCCCGGAGCTATCTCACCAAATGACCCTACACCAGCTGAAGCAGCCAATACAGAGCGAAGTCCTCGCGCACCAGCTCGTATAGCCACCACACGTCAATCTGCCAACTCAAGAAGTAAGAGCGCAGCAGCCGCCCGAAAATGAGTGGCAGAACGATCTGAGCCCGAGCCGATAAGCCCTACATCAGGTGATCCTACCAATAGATCCTCGAAAAAGCCTAGGAGAGCGCAGTGGGATAAAGATCTAGTTATAGATGTAGATCCTAATCCTGAACCTAAGACAGGACCTGAGACCCAGATTAAATATACATATAACACACGTGCACGTCAGAATACGAAGCCTCCACCAGGAACCCCGGTTCTGCAATCAGATATTGCTCCACTAGAAATTTCACATGTACAAGCTGTTAGGACTGTCCGCCAAAGTAAGAGTGTGCGTACAATCCCAGACGATGACTCATCTGAGGATGAACTTACCCAGCCATCAATCCACGAAGCCCCTCAGGAGCCAATCGAGCCAGCTCAGGAGGCTGATACGCTAATGACCACGAACCTTGAAGACAGCACCTGGGCTAACAATCAGTAATATATTGTAACACCAATCGACTAAAAATCCTGCAGGCTAACTGCTGGAAATCGCGGGACGAGGTCCAGATGCATCTCTTTGGTGAGAGCGAGGTGCAAAATTACGATATCCTGGCTATCCAGGAACCCTACATCAACAAATATACCAACCCACTAACAACATACTCACTAGCGCTCAAGGGCAGCTTCCATATCCTACTGCAGCCCACACCCAAGGAAGAATACAAGAAACGCCCACAAGTCTGTTTCTACGTCAATAGAGGGCTAGATCCAGCCACATGGGAGGTCCAATACCATAATAGAGATCTGAGCACATTGACACTTCATACAGCCGCCCATGGAACCATCCATATTCACAATGTATACAATCCAGGAGTCAATAGCAACGAGGAATCTGTAATTAACACCCTGCAAACCACCATGGCACCTAGGACGCAGCATATTGTATTGGGGGACTTCAACCGATATCACCCGCTGTGGGCGGGCCCGCGGTACCGACACGTTGACGAGGAGGCCACTAAATTGATTAATCTTATAGATGAGCATAGGCTTGAGCAGCTCCTGCCACCAGGCACGATCACGTACGAGAGGGTTAACGCCAAATCTACAATTAATCTGGTGTGGGCATCGCACAATCTAGCTAACTGGGTAGTGAGCTGCGACACCAAGCCAGAGTGGTGGTACGGAGCAGATCATGTCCCAATCTCCACCCAGTTTGACCTTACAGCTGTACGTGTTCCTCCAATGGTTCGCAAGCAGTGGAATGCAACAGATTGGGACCTCTTCCTTAAACTGATGGACATATACAATTGGCACCCAAGGGAGCTCAATGACAATGAGGCGATCAATGAGGCGATCCGCTATCTAGTTGAGGCAATCAATCAGGCAGCTGAGCAAGTGACACCTACAAAACAGATCAGCATCTACTCACGAGCGGGCTACACCCCAGAGATGGCGAAGCTTAAACACCACGTATCTAGGTGTAGACGACACGCACGTCGTATAAATACAGATCAGGCATGGGAGGACTACGCAGAGGCTAGGAAAGAGATGAAACGGCGCACCAATGAGCTCGCACGAGATCTACATCGCCAACGAATTGAGCAGGCAACAGAGTCAATAGATAGATTCTGGAGAATTGCCCGTTGGGTCCGCAATAGGGGCAAACCACGTGCCACGTTTACCCCAATATTACACTACAATAACACGAGTTACACAGCCCCAAAGGAGAAAGCAGCTCTATTCCGAGAGGTCCTCCACCCAGAGCCCCCGGAGGCAGATCTGTCAGATATTGGACCACAATATAGATATCCCAAACCATATACGATGCCACCAATCACGTTAGACGAAGTCCGAACGGCAGTAACCAACGTGAAGCCCGACAAAGCACCAGGGCCAGATGGGATCCCCAATCTGGTCCTACAAAGGCTGCTCCCTACTATCAAGGCCTATCTCGTTAATCTCTTTAATGCATGTCTACGTCAACAATACTGCCCTGACCATTTCCGAAAGTCGACAACAGTCATCCTTTGCAAGCCTGGAAAGCCTGATTACTCTGATCCAAAGGCGTACCGCCCAATAGCGTTACTGAGCACGACTGGCAAAGCACTAGAATCAGTGTTAGCCAGACGTCTCAGCTATCTAGTGGAGCAATATAATCTTTTACCAAAGCAACATATTGGAGGACGTCGCGGCCGCTCATGCGAACTAGCAATCCATCTCTTACTAGAAGAGACCCATAGTGCGTGGAGAGAGGGCTCACGAGTAGCCTCAGGGCTTGCACTTGACGTGGCAGGGGCTTTTGATAACGTCAATCATATAAGGCTGATACACGACCTACGAAAGCGCCAGGTGCCAGATGACCTAATTGGCTAGATTAAGAGCTTTCTAAGCAATCGCCGCACATCAATCACACTCCTAGAGGGCAATATGGGGGAATTTCTAGTCAATACAGGCATTCCGCAGGGCTCCCCATTGTCACCAATCCTATTCCTATTCTTTAATGCAGATCTTATTGAGCAGATACTCGCCGAGTGCCCAGACGTGATTGTACTTAGATATATTGACGACATCTTCATCATGACATATAGGACCTCCGCCGCAGCCAACTGTTGCACACTCACCAAAGTACACCAGGTTGCAGAGCGCTGGGAGAGGACACATGCCTCTAAATTTGCGCCTGCCAAATATCAACTTACCCACTTTTGGCGGAAGCACCAAATGGTGCCTAAGCCGAGTGGTAGGCTGGATGTACCTCTCACAATCAAGGAAGTAGAAATTAAGCCTACGGACTCAATCAAATATCTAGGAGTTTATCTGGATACCCACCTCACTGGGGAAGTGCACGTACAGGAGATGAGAAAGAAGGCTGCAAAACTGGTGGCAGGATTAAGCTTAATTGCAGGATCGACATGGGGAACGCCCCTGGTTCATCTAAGGAAGATATACATGGCTGTCCTCCAACCACAGATCATGTACGCGTGCTCCATGTGGTATATATGAGGTGGAAGAGGGTTCACCGGTGTGCAGCGAGCCGTAGAGCAAGCCATTCGATCGATCCAGGATCAGGCTCTTTACCAGATATCCGGCGCGTTCAAACGTACGTCACGACAGGCCCTAGAGGTCTGTCTCCATGTACCACCTGCAGAGCTCACGCTCGTAAAGCTGGCTGAGGAGGCCTGCCTGCGGATCATGACCTCACCACTTCGATCTACGCTTTACCAAATACATGGCCATGCCCACCGTAACGACCCATACACGTTGCTACTTCATCGATTGGAAACAGCCATTAACCGCAAACTGGGACATGATACTAGCCAACGCATTGAGATAATCTACCCCTTTGTAGTGCCACCGTGGTGGAAGCCACCAGAAGCAAGGATTGATGATACCCATGAGGAGGCTATCAAGGCTATTGAAGTAATCTCAGGAACAGATACAACAATATAGTTCTTTACCGATGGGAGCGGCTTTGACAATGGGATTGGGGCAGCGGTCTACTCATCAATAGGATAGGCTTATAAGCTAGTAGGCTCATCTGACACACATACTGTTTATGTAGGGAACTGGAGGGAATCGATACGGCATTGGAAATCCTACTCCGAAGCCAGCCATGCGATGACAACCCATACGAAGCCACAATCTACACAGATAATCAAGCCGCAATACGCGCCACGTGCCAGCCAGGGCGGTCCTCTGGGCAGTATATCCTTCGACGGATCGTACGACACCTGGGCCTCCTACGCGACAACCGATCTCGATGGCGTGTACGACTACAGTGGGTGCCAGGCCACGAAGGGGTCCCAGGCAACGAGAAAGCAGACCAGCTGGCAAAGTTGGCTGCAGTCAAGGCGACACGGCGTACACAGGAGAACGCCTGCATAGCCAGGATCAGCGCACCTAATCAGACTACACCACATGCCGTATGAATGTTGTATATTCTAAATCAGTCAACTATCCTTATGGCAGTGTGTCGCCAGAGGCTACATGCAGGCTTTGCAAAGAGGTGGAAGGAACAGTGGGAGCATGCCAGCCATGAACGGCATCTCTATCGGATAATCAAAGCACCAACGAAGATGGTGTTGCAGCTGCATGAGGGATTACGATGGGCTTGGAGTTCAGTGTTAATCCAACTATAAACAGGTAAATCAGCGCTATGCAGCTTCCTAGCGAGTGTACGGATTGAAGACTCACCTCAATGCGAATGTGGCCTTGGGGATTAGGATACGGCCCACGTCCTCATACAGTGTCCTACCCATATAAACCTGTGTATGGAGACTCTCTGGAAAGAAGCACGCGAAACAGATTATTGGAAGCTCCTTAGCGAACCTCAGTGGGTTCGGCAGAGTATTGAATTTATGATGCGGACTGGTCTATTGACGCAGTTCCATCACATAACCCCCTTAATAACCACGCGCTCACAGTGAGTGCGACACTACCCTGATGAAGAGTAACCACGTTGATTTGGCTCGGACGGATCAGCCACTTGACACGTTTGGAAATAGAACCGGGCACCAAAACATAAATATCACGTCACCCCGCACCGAGATCCTTCACTCTTTTTGTATATATACACATTTCCTTTGTTGGTTCGGCGTTCTCTTCGCTCGTTATCTGTTGTTGGTGGTCTTCGGATCTGGATACGGATACGTGTCGAGACTTTCGCGTGGAGTTGACTAAGTCAGCGCTAAGCCGGAAGCGTCTTGGCACGTTGACGTTGATTTATGCTTTTATACGGCAGTACGCCCGCTGCCCAATTAGAAGGCGCCGCCGGCCACTAGGCTTAGATGCGTGTATGAATCAATCAATCAATCAATCAATTCCACAAATTCTAAATAATATAGATTCCTCTATAACAATTGTGATTTGTGGCGACACGCCCGTTTTCGGTCGCGTCTGCCGTCGAAACCTGCGTCCGTTCCACCATCCGTCCCGTCACCGCCTTGTCCCACTCCAGGATTCTGCCGGTGGCCGTGCCCGCAAGGCCCCTTGGTGCGTGTCTGTACCGCCGCCCAGAGATGGTCACGTGGTTCTGGGTGGGGTGCCCTGTGTTCCTGACCCATGCTTTTTGGCGCCTTTTCGACTTCATGGCAGCTCGCGATGAAGCCAAAACAGGCCTTCCTTCCCTCTGGGGGCCTGTGGGCGGCGGCCGCCTGCCGCGAGCCCAAATGTTCTTCTTCCTCCATCGTCATCGACCGACCTTCCTTCCTTCCACGTTCTCTCACCCGTGTCTCTCAACTGATTTCGGTAGAGAGTATCGTCTATCGACTTGTTCTCACAGATTTTTGCTATGGCAATCCAGACTGGCGTTCACCATCGAACTCTTCCACGTCCCGAGTCCTGTGACCCGGATGATGCCGCCTACGTGGACGACGACGAGCTCAGTTCATCTTCCGATGACGGATCGGACTACTCGGACTATACTGACGACGCCGACGACTCTGAGGATGGTTACTCGACCCCCATGACTGAGCCGGTCTCTGACGTCGAATCCCATCTGCTGGCATCACAACGACCGCAGAAATCTCCCGCCAGCACCTCCAACCGCAGTCAGATTCCCGCCATATCGCCACGGTTGCCCAAGAACCGCGATGAACCAGACGACGACACCGATGAAGATATCGCGAACGTCCCGCTGGACTATGGCAGGTCAGGAAAAACGAAGATCAACGGGGCGAGGATTGAGGAACGATGGCACAAGTGAGTCACCCCAAATCCGTCTCTTCGGTGAAGGAGTCGGTTCACTGATCTCTACCCAGATATTGTGGTGTGAAAGCGGTCGAGGACAGTGCGCTCCCTAAATGGAGCGATCCTGAGGTGGCCCTCCGGCAAGTGACGACGAACGATGCTCATCGATTCTTGAACTACTGCATGAAGCTCAAGCGAGGCAAAAACGACCGGCTTCTCAAAGGGATCAAGAAAGCGAGCGCCCTCAGAGCGGATTGGAAGTCTTTGCAAGGGTATTATCGAAGGATTACACGGACCAGCTTCACTGACGTACAGAATGAAGAGATCAACGCGGTAAGAATCGATACTCGACTGTGAGTATCGTCTCTAATCAGCGAATAGGGCATTCGAAGTCTCATCGATAAATGGAACTTGGACATGGAGGAGCGCGAGAAAACCGGGGTGTATGTTTCAGACTTGACTGCCTTCAATGAAACCGTCCTCCGGACAACCGAGAAGCGATGGCACCTGGGGTTTGAGCGGATCCAGATCTGCCTCTTCACCATTCTAGGGATTTTCACGCTCAACCGAATCTCCGCGCTGCTCTCGCTACAGTTCAAGCACCTCCAGTTCTCGATTCAACGAGATCCCCTTGGCGGTCCTCCGATTCCCATGGTGGAACTACGCGCCGCCCACACGAAGCAATTTCTTGGTACCGAACAGCAGTGAGCCTACACCCTTTGACCTTCTCTCCTCAATCTATGTTATTTCTTTACCCGCTAAACTGGTGCTAGTAATAACTTCCCGTTCCCTGAAGTCGTGGACGACCCAACGTTGATCTTCAGCCCTCATGTCTTCCTATTCGGCATCCTATTTCACCTGGATGCCTTCGAAGCTGACGGGCTTCGGTCCATGGAAGACGTGCGTGGGCTGCTGGTTGCTGAGGGCTGTGAGCAAATGGAGCTTTATCTCAAGCCTGACATCGAGGAATATTTTCTCTTCGCCATGACCAAGGTGGTCGGCGGGATTCCAACCGTGCAGTGGGAGACACCTATCAACCCCAGTACAATGTCCTCCCGACTGCAAACCTTGGGAGAGATCCATGGTTGGCTACATACCTTCTTCGCTCACCGCATGCGGTACGGTGGCGGGAAGAAGTTGAACGAGAGCGGTAAGCTCACCCTTCGTTTGGCCATCCCTGGCATAAAATCACTTGCCCCTGACGCAGAGCGGGAGCTGACCCAGAGTTGATCTAGGCTGTGTAAGCGAAGCACAACAGAATCTCATCATGAAGCACGCCTCCATCCGCACGTTCTTAAATCATTATCTACCACGGAATATTGACACTGACATGCAGAATATCATGAACGGTCGGAAACCCAACACGGTGTTGATGCATGCTATCAGGCGCATTAGTCGCTGGATTGACAAGCGGCGTCCCCGAACCATCAGCGAGCAGGACCGAGCGGAGTTGTATCAACATCCGGAGTATCTGGCGGCGGTGCGCGAGCGTGATGAGCAAGCCATCCTCTGCCAACAGAACCCAAGTGAACAAAACCAGTCCTGGCTGAATCAGCTGGACGCAGACGTTGATAGAATCTTCCGTCGCCTGTGCCGAGTCCGGAGGAAGGAAGTACGTGCAGCATTCAGTCGGAAACAGGCAAAGATCGATATTGAACGTCAACGTTCGGGGAGCGCGTTCCACAATGAGGAAACGAAACACAACGTCCAGACGGTTGCTCAGATACCTCCCGAATTGAGCCGCCTCCTGGAGAAGTTATTTACGTGGCCTACATCCCACTCCCTTGACGATGAGTGGGCGAGGCGGAATGCAGCCACGAAGGCTGTCACTGAGTACTGCAGCGTATGGGAAGGGGGACCTATACGTGGTCGCCCAAAACGAGCTTCACCAAGCGACGACGAACTCGATCAAATAAAGCCGTCTAAGCGCGTGGCCAAGGCGGCACCAACATCGAGTGTGCCAACATCGGATTCACGTGATCCCTTGGAGGAAGCCAGACAACATATCATTCGTGTCGGGCAGCAAGATCGCAAAAAGCCCAACGCCGAGAAACCGATCATTTGTTTCCAGTGCTTCGGTAATCAGTTGCTCCCAGAACACAAGCGCATCCAAAAATGGTCGAGGCCGGACGCGACAGTGCGACATTTTCGAGACAAACATCTTCCAGATCGGCGGTGCAATTTCTGCAACGACGGCGAGATCTTTCTGCATCAAATGCATTTACAAAATCATGCAGCGGCGGTCCATCGCCTCGTCACCGGATCCAGGGGATGCTGATCTTGTGTGTACTTTTCTCTAATAGATATTTTGCTGATAGATGTTTCATTTTCGTGTCTTTGCTTGCCTCGCTACCGAAGATTTATACATGTATATGTATATCTATAATTGCATTGAAGAACAGTCTGAATTCCTATCCCGCGCCTCTTCGTCTAGGTTATTGAGTACCTATTGAAGTCGCGACTGTGGCCCTTAGATGCCCCAGCTGCGCCACAAAAATGGTAAGGCCTGCCGGGCGGCAGGCTGCCAGTATAAGGCCAAGCTTCTCCGACTCTGGCTCTGCTCGGCGCTTAGCATCTATGAATTCAGCCAATAGATTATTAGCAATCGACGTGATCGCATTGCTTAGATACTGCTCATAGGAGGGAACCATTGGTCCATCCTTGACCCGCTAACGTTTCAGACCGCTCTAACAAATGAGCCGCTGATAAATACCGATGCTCAACCAGACCTCGATCGTTCATACCTCGACAACAAATATATCTATTTTAGCATCAGATCTGCCTCCTATCCTTCTACTATTTGACAATGGAGCTTCCTCAACCGCAGGCTGAAGAGGCTGTCTCTTCCAACGATAGAGTCGGGAAAAAACAACGCGATCGGGAGGAAGAAGCAGGTTATATTATGGACGATTTGAAATCTGGAAAGTCCGTCCTTCTTCTCCAAGAGACTCCCAAAGCCAAAACCAGCCACTGCCAATCATGGCGTTGTATGCCACGTAAACGAACTGGGAAGCCGGTTATCAAGTCCCATTATCGTTTCATGCTGAAAGATATCTCAGTGCCCTCAAGTATGGAGAATGATCCTTACTAGATATAGAAATTTGCTAATGTGGGTATACACAGAGCGAAAGGCTGAATACTATCACGTCACATGTCTTGAGCGTCTCCTGCCCGATTTGTCTGCGCTAGTCCGAGACGGCCATTTGAAGATGGATGGCTGGATTTCCGCGCCGGTTGACAGCAATGTGTGCCTCGAATCATCCGCGGAAATGGTCGCAGACTGGTTCAAGTATGGGGGCCGTACCTTTGACCTTGGATGCTATGCAAATTTCAGAAAGGACCATCGTGAATGGGACAATGATTGCAGTACTCGGTGGATCAACCATCATCTGGGCCATGGAGAACAGCCAGACAATGCGTGCAACTACTGTCAGTCTCTACCAGACCCAGAAGAACCGAAAAAAGAAGATTACTTTCCAGATGATCCTTCTGTGATTTCATTAAGTCAGATGTTGGCGTCGATGAGCGGACAAGCAAATATTGACAAGTGTGGTCGCCGGAGAAGACGGGCATAGAAACTTCACAGATTGGCTTATATTATGTATCACAAGAATAAACAGTGCTATTTATTACCTTAGCAGTCTTCGGTCCAACTATGCTTCCACCACGTTTGGATAAAAATCCTGGCAAGACTGAATCGGCTTCTTGCAAGCTGGGTAAGGACAAGGATACTCGAACACAAAACCCTTGGACTTGATATCCTTCACACAATCCTCACACAGTGTATGACCACATCCCAGAACTTTCCAGCTGTCGTTGAACGTTCGATGGCATAAGGCACACTTCAAAATATTGCGACGCCTCTGTTCCTCGTTCTGTCGCTCTAAAAATTGAATTTGATTCTGAAACTGTTTCTCTTTCTTCCTCCATTCATCTCTCTCTTGTTTCAATCGTTTGTTCTCCTCATTCAAGGCCGCATATGGTTCTGTGATATCCTTCACAAATCGCTTCTATTGATTATTAGCCAGGTTTGAGAAAGATATAGGAACCACTTACAATTTTAGACCCAAAATCCACCACATCGGAATCTTCTCTTTTCCGTTTGCTTAGGGGTGGTGCCGAAATCGCATGCTCCATTGTATCTTGGTAATCTCGATAAGCATAATCAGGGCGACCCCTACGTCGACGTCGTGGGCGTGTATGATGATTCTCCTCATCGTCACTGATTTCGATGACTGGTGAAGGGGAACCCGCTGCTTCGCCAACCTCTTCACCCGACGGCACTCGTTCGCTAGGTAACTGCCGCGGAGGTGAATCCTCATCGAAGGGAATGGTGGATGGAGGGGATGCAGGAGATTCGAGTAATATATCGGTGGGAGCTCCTGTCGCGATCCCTTCTTCTACTCCATATATGAAACCTAGGTCATGCCAGTTATCAATCTGGGCTGGTGTAGGTGGTTGCTGTGTCTCCATTTCGATAGACGTGTTAGGTGTTGGTGAAAGAATTTCAGGATGACAGACCGACCTTACGGTGGGAAGTCGGCACTCTTTATACCCGTTTGATCCCTTTTAGGGGGCTGAGCGATCCGGCTCTCATAATTCACGGCAATCCAGTGCATGAAAGTCGAGTGGAGATGACCAGCCTATTATGCAAAACCTAGCCTCGTAAGTCCAATCAGGTGTGAAAGGCGACCACCAACCATGCTGAATCACAGCGTAGTATGACCCTAAATTAGAGCATTTGCCATTGACCAGTAGAGCTTCCGCTTGTCCCAATCGAGCATGGGGTTGTATCATGCGTAGCGCTGCCAACAGCACCAACTGTTCGTTTCGCAGTCGGCACTAGCTATCCTGAAGCGGAAAATACTCACGGTGAATGAAGGATAGTTGGATAACCATCATCTCAGGCGCTAGGGTCAATTCCTCATACTGTGTATATCTAGTAGAGAGTTTCATCGGACGAGAGGAAGACTCTAAGGTGGAGTTCTTCGGGAGGACACTGCTGGAAAGCTCACTTCATGTAGGATTCGTAGTCCAGGAGCAACCCGACTCCTTTCTGGATACTATTGTGGCTGATTCCGGCATCAATCATTGGGCATGTACAGTCCTGCATGTGCCTTGGATAGGCAGAATTTGTTTCCAAGTGGTCCTCGAATTCTTAAACGAGCAGCCCCCATGCTCAAGTGTACTGAGAGAGCCTGCTAGCAAGCCACTTCCATCCGGTCTGCCTCGCCGTGTGCCTCCGTCTAGTCATGATTGGTGGTAGTATCGCAGACACGGTTTGGTTTTCGACCTCCCAGGATGCCAGACTAGTTGGTGGTCGGAGTTATAAAGGCCTCCGTCCGCACTCTTGGTCTGCTTTCTTTCCCATCTCCCATCATCGAAACCCAGTAACATCAGAGGTATCATACCGAGACTCACCACGAGAAGTTCGCGAACTATCCATCAAATCCATCAGGAAGTGCTGCAAGTGCTGTTTCAAAAAACATGGAAGCCCATCAATTGTCAACTCAACGACTGAGTTCTGAGTCTTGTCGACTCTCATCCTTGAAACGCAAATACGAGCTGAATCCAAGTTGTTCAGATCAGCAAGCCGCAAAAGAGATGCGATACATCAATCCTGACACACCACTCCCCTCAATAGAGCCAGAGAGTTATCTGGAGCCAGATCTTATTTTCGATGAAGATCATCCGGATATTAAGCTGCGTTCGGCTCCTATATTCATCGATGATGGCGTGATCGTTGGCTTTTGGTACACAGATCGAGGCGGAAATGGAAAACGACCGGTGTATTGCTTTATTAACGAAGGTTTCAAATTCGCATACCGGAAAGGAGACTCTTTCATTCTCACAACGGACGACGATTTTGATCTCCTGGATGATCTCGGTGACTGGCTGGATGAATATGCCGAAGATAAGGACGCCATGAGTCCAGAGGCAGTGAAAGTGTGGGCAGATATGATGTGGGAGAGCAGAGTCTATGCCGGAACCCAGGAGATGACACTTGAATATTGACGGGAGAGCAGAGTTTATGCCCACCCGGACATGACACTTGAGGTTTGACTATCTTTAACGTGTATATAGGGGAAATGGCAATGAACAAAAGCGCGCACCAGTTTTACAATCAGCTGGAATAGCGATAAGAATCTGGCTAGAGGTATTTGAGGCTGGATTGACGTTACCAATAGATGACAATTGGCTGAATCGGCGTGTTACCGCACACCGGAGCCCATAGGAGATGTCAGCCCGCGTGCAATGGACAAACCGTTGTAGCTGCACTGCCCCTCATGAGACGAGAGTGTACAGGGGATTGAAGCCCGCAGGGGGGAGCAACCCGCGAGCGATACAACAACCGTGGCAACCCATAGGATTTACCATCCCCTGTGCGGTGGAAGCCCGCGGGGGCTGCCATGGTTTGACCACCTCATAGGGGCTTGAAGCCCGCGGGGGACAATAGCGATAGTAAACTCATGGTGTCCCACGCGGATTGCTATTTCGCAGGGGAATGATAGTCGCCACCGTGCCAATGAAAGGTCTGGCGCCCATGAGGGATACTAGAGTATAGGGGCTGACCACGAATTTCACCAGCAAAAACCGTGGGATCGCTGTCAGTAATACGTCAACCATGACCGCAAAGACCATGAGTAGCTTGTAGCGTTAAAGTATCAATAAGAGTGGTCGTCCAGATGCACTGCTAACCAATGATGATGGCATGGCTTAGAAAATCATCCTTTGGTTCTCCTCATCCAATGTAATGTTCCCCGGAGTTGGATCGCTGTGGAGAACACCATTGAATGGCACGTAAAGAGGTCTCAGCCTGCGCAATGAGCTTCGCCTCATCAATTTCGTGTTGTCTCTGGCCAGATTTCTGCCCGCATGGCTTATCAGAGTTAAGTGAACCATCATGGCGATACCATCATATGAAAATGGTTGACGAAGGTCGAGGCCGCCGAAGACGACTGGGGCAAACTGTCCTTGATTCGCACGGAGATGGAAGTATATCATCTCCTCCCTTGGCACACTCGATGAAGTCAATCCCAACAAAGGTATACCCATGCGACCAGAGAGCCATGTATGCGAAGCGATTCGCATCCGAGCTCGGAGTTGGGGTCGGGGTCATATCTCCAAGGCCTACCATCAGAGTAAAGTTCAACAACCCACCACTTATTCCATAAGTATTCCCCAGCCTCAGCCGCCAGCAAACGGCGGCTTCCGTGCAGCAGTTGTAGGTTAGTTGAGAATTCTAGTGCTGCCGGTTCCCCCTCCTTCATCAAGTCATCGACATGCAACCCTGAGGCCTGGCGACTTTCAGAAAGCAGGGCCCGACTAACAATCACAGGAACGTGATTCCATGGATCTAAGCGGTGATAACCCACGAAAAACGTCAATCAGCTTTTCCACATGTTTTTTCTCGTGAATTCGTACTACGCGATCAAAATCCACATTAGAAATTTGCACCTTGGCGCGTCTAAGAAAGAACGTCGACTTTTCCCAAAACGATAAAACGTCATTCTCCTCCATAGTTTGACTGACGCTCCGTTCATGCAGGCCTGGGCTGTGTTCTAATAAGGGTTGCCAGGAGGCTTGCTTTGTGGGGCGCGCTAGCCGAATGCCTACTTATCGCAATTTGATAGCGCCGCGCCCTGCACAGCGCTTCTGGAGCCATGAGGACGAATCATGTAGGTTCGGAGTTGTTCATTATTCTTCTAATCTTGAGGGGCCGATGGACTGGTTATATACACCATGCATGCACAGACCCACTTCCTTATCGGAACAACACATCCACCGAGATGTTCTATTACCCTGTGGGCAGATTTCCCTGTGGTTAGATTACCCTGTGGCTAGATTACCCTGTGGCTAGATTACCCTGTGGTTAGATTACCCTGCGGCTAGATTACCCCTGTGGCTAGATTACCCTGTGGCTAGATTACTCGAGGGTAGATTACCAAAGACATGAGTAGCTTGTAGCGTTAAAATATCAATAAGGGTGGTCGTCCAGATGCACTGCTAGCCAATGATGATGGCATGGCTTAGAAAATCATAGGTAGCAAAAATCGTGGGTTGTGTTGGGAGGAACAGGAAATGAAAAACGTTGATCGGAGTTTGTAAATCGTGGTCGATCATGAAGTGGGTCCCGTTCCCTTGTTAGCAAATAAGACACTTAACTAAGTTGTTTCACTTGGCTTGTGTGACTCATCGCTCATTACGTACTAACTACATATAGTTAGTTACAGGTCAAACACAGAGCTGACTAAGCTTTATGTGATGGAAAGTTCGCATGCTATTATTAGAACATCTTTACTAGCTGTTCGAATGTTACTAACTACAGGCTATACGGTGTGGCACTCTTCGTTAGCAGCCAATTTGCGTCTAAGGAACCGTTCCTAGTCTGTCTGAGACTCTGTCTGTCAAAATTGAATTCATTATTGATTCCGCCTCGAGAATCCGAGTACGTAACTCATTTCGACCGGACTAAGTGACTAATCTCATGATAAGGTCTGAACCAATCTCTGCATCAGAATCTAGAAGTACACGCATACGATATCAAGATTCAGCAGAGACATCTTCCGCCATGGCAGCTTGTTAGTGGCCGTCGAGATTCATTTTTCGATGATTCAGAATATTCTTCTGGATTCGGTCGCCATTCCGGCATATGTACCCCAGCTTCCTCTGTCACCTCTGAAACGGTGAATATTGACCCTCGCTTGATTGAATCTGGTCCTGTCCACTCTACGAAGTGCTCGATCCGTCGGTCAAAGAGATTGCAAATATCCGTATAAATGTAATCCTGCCTGATTTCTGGGATGAGATGAATGATTTCCAGGCCTTTTTCTCGTCTTACCTGTTTTAGTTTGCTTTTGTATACTATAGCACTGGCGACTATTCTGTCGTCTGGTCAATGAATTGTGGAAGATGACTGGCAGTTATTCACTGTGGAGCCTTGGTTTTTCAAAGTAGTTAGTCAATGTGGATCCTGCCTTAGTCATCTCAATCCTCCGGCGGATTGTGTGACGTCATACATACAAACGCGAATGTCAACACGTCTACATAACTATAGACGCAGTAGACGAGCTGGACGTTGGCATAAGCATCTGGTTTTGACAGGCATACTTCTTGATTGAGATTGGGCACAGTCCAAGAATCGAGTGTCACAGGTTTATTGAGTCGCATCATACAAGCCGATACATTAAACGGAATATAAACAGACGACTAGGCAAAAAAACTTTACTGTACCTCGATTAAAGAGCAGTCTTTAAATCTTGACGAGTAGACTTATCGTGGTCGGGTTCTTCGATCCTCCATCCCCAACACATATAGCCTTGAATATAAAGTGGTGAACCGGTGGCCATTTCGAGTAATGCTAGGATCAACCGAAATATGAAAATGATTTGAGAGTAGTCATGGGAAAAGAGGTTATTCACTCAACTGCAGTCGAGACTTTCCTCAATTTTCAAGAGAGGTATGACACACAGCTGATCGTCTAGAAGATTCTCCAGACATTGTTGTCTTCGGGTGTTCCTGGAGTGAACAGCAGCGTAATCTTGCTAATTTGACGACGCCGAGTACGAGCTAGTCTCGTGATTGGCTTGGACGTGAATCTCTTGAAACAGAACAGAAGCCCAGTCTCTTACATGACGGACTGGCTAGATAAATACCAGAGGCTTCCCACAGTCTTCGTTCTCTCCTTTTCTTCTCAGGCCTCCCTCACAGCATGGATATCATCAGCATTTATGCCATCACCGCCGGCGGTGTTTTTGTCGCTCTTTTCCTGATCAGTATTCTTCCGTATTTGTGTCAATTAACCAAGAGCCTTGAAGTGTACATTTCTCGTTATTTGATTTTTCCATTGTTTCTTCGTCGCCATCGCTTCGTTGGCCCATGGACACGTGGGGCTGTGTTAATTCACCTTCTCTATACTGGGGTCAATCTGTTCTGTCTCTGCTTCGGTGTCTCTTCGCCAACAGAATTTGCAGATAGATCAGGGACTCTGGCTGTGGTCAATATGGTCGCTTCATATACGGCGGGACACGTGAGCTTCTACTCGGATATATTGAGTATTTCTCGCCACACATGCCTCCAGATCCACCGGGCCACTGCTTGGATGGTGAGCGGTTTGTTAGTTCTACATGTTGTCCTAATTTCCACTATCCAGAGAGGTCTCTCATTGGATCGAACGAGCAACCTTTTTGCACTTATTGTAAGTTGTTGACCTCGTCATGCATATCGTCTCTGATTGAAAATAGGGGGCCGGATGTGTAGTGGGACTCGCAGTCTTTGCACTGCCGTACATTCACCGTCACATCTTCGAAGTGTTCCTTCGAACCCATCAGGTCCTTGCATATTTTCTTTTATATGCGACGTGGCGGCATGTTGGATCTGACAATCGCCTTTCAAGGATTTGTATCATTACTACATTTGTGTTGCTTTCAATGGCACTTCTACTACAGCTTGGCTTCCTGATCTATCGGAATAAAATTTTCTCGTTGCATGGATGGCCTAGGGCGCGGGTTTCCTGTAACCGCCCGAAAATCGAAGGCAAAGATGATTCTGATGTAATCATTCAAGTTCGCGTGGCCCTCACACGACCGGCCAGGATTGAAGCGGGACAGTACATCAATTTGTGGATGCCTTCGGTGACCTGGTGGTCATGGGCACAAGTACATCCATTCATGGTCACCTCGTGGTCTCACAGCGCCCAGGAGGCGCTGGACATACTGATTCAGCCTCGGCATGGGTTTTCTCGCGAATTACTAAAGCATGCCCGTGCGGCTCCACAGGGATCTGCTTCGTTGCGCGCGTTGATCATCGGACCACATGGCATGAGTGAAAACGTCGATCGTTATGAGAGTGTTGTGCTCGTGGCAAGTGGCTTTGGTATCGCAGCCGCCATTCCGTATCTCAAAAAGCTCGTGTATAGCTACAACACCTCGGCATCTCGAACGAGAAGAGTGCATCTTGTCTGGGAGGTTGAGACTCTTGGTGAGTACCATGACGTCAAGTTATCTTACGCTAACATATGAAGATATCGCAATCGCGGTGCAAGCAACTCTGAATAGTCTCCTCGAAGATGACGTCTTAAAGAAGCGTTACGTAAGTGGCATTTTCCTCGCTTGCCAGTGCAATCAGATGTTGAGCTGGACTAGATCTTGACCATCTCTATTTATGTGAAATCCGGTCAGATCATTGGCGACGTGATGAAGTTCGGAAACCACGACCGAGCTGTCGTTTATAATGGCAATGCAAATTATGATCAGATATTGCAAGCGGAAATGTCTGGAGAGCTCATTGAGAGGTTGCCGAACGCCAATGAAGAGAAGGGAGAGTCAGTGGTGATGGGTAAGCGTCGTCCGAGGGAACCCATTTATGTGTGTTAATTATTTTCTAGTAGCAGCGTCCAGTCTAGTGCGCGACCAAGTTCGATCAATCCTTCGAGACCATATACACCAAAAGGCGAGAATGGTTGTTCTTGAATATCGGCCTTGAGCCAGCATCGTTGACTTTGAAAAGTCTCCGCTCATGGTAGTCATTGCGCTGGCAGTACTATGTGGTTCATGGGAGCAAATTATCGAAAACACTTGGTGGAGGGCCAGTCGTGACGTAATTCATATCGTGGCACGGAGAGATAACCCTTGTGTACCTGTTGGTTTTTGATTTTTCTTTATACTCTTCTTCTTTGTTCTCTATATTCAATCAAATATATGCTGTTAGTTCATGATGGAGAACAATGACATTCTGGAGCGCTTCAGAACCTTTGATTTGCCAAAACTCTGGACAGTGACCTATCCATGGCGGCAGGCTTCCTATGCCGGAAATGGGGACCTCGTGGCGTCCGACACTACACTGAAACCGCAGACAGAAGCTGAATTAAAGCAGGCGGTCGAACATCACTTAGATTGGTACAACTCTGGGCCTAGCTGCTTTCTTTCAATGTTCAGTGACTGGCGGCACTGTCGGAATTGGGCCAGTCAGCGAGGCGATGCTGGCGTATATATTATCGAAGTGGATATCACACAGCTTAATCATTCCTATGTTTTTCAAGCTAAGCATGTGACCTCAGAGTTAGGGATCTTATATTCGAGATCACTTGAACATGAATATTTCATCCTGCACCGTATACCTCGCAATGCTATGAAATCCAGAATCTCGCTGGGAGAAGCGGAGGAGAGGGGTATGGTGATACAGCACATGACTATGATCATTTAGTACGTGGTTAACATACATGCAGATGCCGATATTCGATATGGGAAACGACGTCCCTTCAACCCTTGCTTGCATTGGGTTGATGATCTTCATGGATATTATGACACTGATGAGGAGTGCGAAATGCACAATGCAAATGATGACATCATGGACCTACTCGAAGGGGACGACTGAGATTGACTTGCTGCATTTCTGGCCCGATCCCGTATCCAGATCCTGGGGCATTCCGGATATCTACGCTTTCTGAACAATGTCCCTTGTTTGAAGGTGAAATGAAAGCGTTTCACCAAGATACGACAAATACCACGAATCCTGACTGATTCTGAGGAAAGGGTGCTATACAGCCATTATTAGCCTCGCAAAACCAAGATTCGTGATCCAACATCTGTACTCACTTTGAGGAGGCTGCGGAGGTCCGTGTTGATAGGCATCCTGATGAAGGCTTCAGCCATTTTCCAGGACAGACTCTTCTTGTCCGGGCTGCTCCAGAGGTTAAGTAGATTAATTGCAATACAGTAAACGGCTTCCACGTCGCGCGAAACATCCTCTGTCTTCCATGCCTGTATCATGCTCTTCCCGATATCTCCTGTTGGGGTATCAGTGGAATGACCAAAACGATTCGATTAGCTGAAACAATTTACCAATTTTAACCTCTCCATCTCTGTCAATGTATATATTGTCACAGTGCAGACTGCCATGGCTGATGTTGAGATCATCATGAATATAGATCAGTCCTTGTATTACCTACACATTCGTTAGTCGTCACCTCACAGACCAAATCGCGCCACGGGACCTTTTTGCAAATGGTCGCCACTGCAATGCGATCAATCATTTCAAATTGCTTCAGTCTTGCCAAGGACATCCCCGGTCTCTCGTAGCTCAGGTGAACTTTATCTCCCTCGAGCGAAAAATCTATAAGATTCAAGAGGTTGGGATGGTTAGTTTGCCGTACAAAACTACCTGCTTTATGACCCACTTCCACCGTTTTGACAAACGCAGGTCGAATCGAGATATCTTGGACTTCCATCCCAAAACACCCTTGTTCGGATGGTTTCACGGGAAATGGGGTAAGAATTGTACCAATCCAAGGACTTTCTGAACCGCTCGCCCTCCTGGTCATGGTTTCTATCTCATCACCATCTTGGACAGGATTTGTTAGAACCCCGGACGTCCTCTCCGGAGAGATAGTAGTTGTTCGGGCACGTTTGTTCATTTGGAGCAAGACCATGAGCGTCCCTAGAAAGATCGATCTCGTCGCACCCTCGGGGTTTATATAGTTTCAACCCTGGTCTTGTTGGAGACCTCCAAGATCGGGTGTGACTCACAGCCTCCCGATCTAGAATGTTCTCTATATCATCTTTAGTTGCCAGTTCGGCTTTGGTGGCAAAACTCCGCCCAGCTGATGACTACCGAAACCGTGAGGGTCACCAAGCTCTCCTTCTCCAACGAGACCTTTTATTCTTGTCGAACTCGAGTAGATTGTATTCATCGTCTCGAATCCAAGGAACGTATTGATCATATGTAATTGGGCTGACGCGGAGCAGAAGTAAGCTATGTATCCATAGTTTGAATACGAGATGACCACTACATATGTATGCGTACTCAAAGTCTAGGAGCTTGATCTTGAAGAAACTGTCATGTGAGGTTCATTATTACGACCGCATGGTATGTAAGATTTGTTAAATGAGCCTGACATTTTATGATTTTAGCACGTACACAGTAAGTGGATGATTCTGATTTGGTTTAGGTGTAATTATCCAAAAGCATTGACTTTTCTGCAGCTGAACATGAAAACGGCTGTTGCTTGAGATCATCCTCAATTATGACCATTGAGCCTTTGATTGTCGGTTCGCGGTATGATCGTCGCGGTGTCTTTGTGTAACACTGAAATAAATGTTGACAGGGTGTAGACTCTCACAGGGCTCAGTGGGTATGAACGCATGGTTCGCTATCTTACACAATCCAGTGCCACTTCATTCCCAGCCTCTGAAAATAGCTGAACAAGGACTTTTTGGGCACATATCCAGCATACTTGCTCTGCCAAAGAGCCGCGAACGATCCCTCAATTGGTCCCAGGTCACCAAACCCCAAAATCTCAAGCGCCCATGGCATCAAAATAGCCAGGATTCCTAATGCGATCAATGTCGCATAGACTGGGTGGTCTTCGGCAAATCCAATCGCGGTGTCTTTCGCTTGCGCGAGCGCATCGAGCGAAGCCTTTGCCATCTGGGCACCGGTCTTGATAGCGTTCTCGAGACCGAGAAGGAGAGCGGTTGCTATGTCTTCAGACCAACTCTCGGTGGACAATCTCTCGTTGAGGTGTTTGTGCAGAGTATACGGGCTATCGGCGGCCAATATAATGGTGAGGATATCAGAGGCAATGGACGCGGGGCTCGGAGAAGAGCTGGGCTGTGCAAGGGGAGGCTTGGCGGCGAGCGTGCTCGAGATACAATCAAGAAGGTATTGGAACACCATTTTTTCAAGTTCGGTCGTGGGGAAGGCACACAGTGTTTCGGGGAAACTGGGGCAAAGGAATGATAAAGAAGAGAGAACTGCAAAAGATATAAATACCTGACGACTTCATTTGTGCTACCGTCCCTCACCGCCTGAGGAATAACCCTACCTGAGGAATAATTTCAACGGCTTACTGTACAGAATATTTTGAAGCTTTACAACACCACATAATAATTAAATATAATGAATTTCTGGTGTAGCACTAAATAAGCTATGGCGAATCTAAAAAGCATAAAAATTAATCGCGAAAACGTGCAGGGGGCCGTATGGCGCGGCCCCTACGGTTTGTAGTAACAACTACCTCATTATCCTCCACATGAGCCTCAGGTTGCGCTCTTGGCTTTGCTTGCCTAGAAATTTGCTTTGTAGGCCTTTTTGAAGCCTTTGGAGTTGCTATAACATCATTTTGAAGCTGTAAATCAGCTAGCTTAGCCAATTCTTGCTCGTCCTTAAGCCGTTGCTTTTCCGCAGCCTCTTGCTCACGCTGTTCACGTTTTTCTTGTCGGATTTGAGCTCTTTCAACCTTTTCAGCCTCTCTAGCTTGCTTTTTAAGCTGTTGTTGAAGCTTTTTATCATCTTTATGAGCCTGCTTCTGCGCGGCTTCGTCATTTTTTTGAGAAATAATATCACGAGCTTGCTGAACCTTAGTAGGGCTCATAAAAAGCGCTCCACCATCTTGTTCTGATGGTAAACCTAGTAATAAAGGCTGTTTCTTTTTTTTAGGCTTCTTTGAATTTATGAGAGCTCTTTTTAGGCCTTGATTCTCATTTTGAAGCAAGATAAGCTGAGTAGAAAGATGTGACACCGTTTCTCGAAGCTGTATAGCCTTTTCATCATAAATATTGTTAACAACAGTTTTAACAAGCTTCTCAAGCCGTCTCCAATCTTCTGGAGGAATAATTGAAGCTCCGGATTCGCTTGAGATGGCCGGCTGGTGATTTTCTTGTTGAATTTGTTGATACAATCTCCGGATCAAAGGGATATAGGCCAGTCGTTCTGAATGCTGAATTGATATCTGCTATAAAAACCTCATTCCAGCTAGCCCAA